TTCTCCCATATGCTTTTTTCATCCATTCCCCTTCCCCTTCTTTTGTATTGCCCCATCCCTAGCCCCCAAACTATTCTGTGCTCCACCTTCCCTCCCTCCACCCTCCCCCTAGCCACATCCCAGCAACCAGCAAAGAATCTTCCTGCTTATGTTTTCTTTTTCTGCTATTTTTGTCCCTTCTTGTTCCACCTAAACAGGAAACAACCACTGTGCCCACATGGCCCAGACGCTACCAGCTCCTGTACCACCTGACCACTGACAGGCAGTGGCCAACATCAGGCAAACCTGTCCTCCACTGGACTACAGGAAAACAGTGAACACTGAACTGTGCACAGACATTCTCTATCACACAGACAGGTGGTGAGTGCCCAAGAACCGACCATCAGAGAATCATCAGTTAAATACAAACACAGCATCACAATGTCTCCGAGACAACAGACAATTTCAGTGCAGATGAACAAACAAGACAGAGTAGCTCAAACAAGTGAACACAAGACAGAACCAGAGGATCTTAGGAAGAAATTACATTATAACTACTTGATAAGGAATTATAAAGAATGATATCTAGGTACCGTCAATGGATTGAGAAAGATCAAGAGAATTGCAGATGAATTCAGGAAAACACTATAAGAATGAAAACTGACAAAATAAGTGAAAAATTAGAAACCACACAAAACCAGCAAATTGGAATCCAGAAAAATTAACACTGAGATTTCAGAAATAGGTATCCTGCAAATTTTGATGTTATATTTTTATTTAGTTAAAAATATTTTCAAATAATTTTTTCTAGAGACTATCTCTGTGATTCTGCATTATTTAGAGATGTGATGTTTAATCTCCCAGAATTTTGGGATTTCCTAGCTATCTTTCTCTTATTAAATTTTAGCTTAATTCCAACGTTGTCTGAGAGTATATTTTATTATTTCTATATTTAAAAATATTTAGGTGTGCATTCTTCTGTTATTATATGATGCAGTCTATAAATGTCCATTAGATCCAGTTGATTATTATACTGATCAGCTCAATTCTATTTTAGCTGATTTTTCTGCCTGTTGGATCTGTTAAGTACTGATAGAGGAGTGTTGAAGTCTCCAACTATAACATAGTCTATTTCTCCTTATAGTAACATCAGTTTTTGCTTCACATATTTTGATGCTGTTGGCACGATAGGATAAGCACTAGATCGCAAGGTTCAAACCCACCAGTCACTCCTTGGAAACCCTATGCAGGGTTGCTGAGTCAGAACCAATTTCATGGCACTTAACAACAATTAGGTGCATATACACATAAGATAGCCTTCTTAGAGGATTGACTTTTATGGTTATATAATTTTATGGTTAACTGCTGTTGAGTCTGTTCCGACTCATAGTGAATAGTTGGATTACTTCTAACATATTTGTAAACTTTGCTTTTAGCCCTTTCCCCCCAACTCTTTTTTGCCTTCTCTGGTTTTAATTGAGCCTCTTATGTGACTCAGCTGTCTCATACAAATTACACATCTTTAAAACATGTTTAATATTTTCCCTAGAATTTTCAATATACAACTAATTTTAAATTCACTTTCAAGTAAGAATCTACCATTTGGTAAGTCGAGCAGGTACCTTATAGCAAGAGTATAGGTAAACCTTGAAGATACTGCAGACTTAGTTCCAGACCATCGCATTAAAGCAAGTCTCATGAATTGTTTGGCTTTCCAGTGTATATAAGAGTTACAGCCCCGATGAATGGATGATCAGAACTCAACCAGGAGAAGAAAGAAGAGGAAAAAAAAAAAAAAAGAGTGATCTGATACAATTTGATGAACTTGACCTACACCTATGGATGCAGTAACCCAAAAGAGAGAACAAATACAGCAAGAAACATTCCCACCCCCTCCACCCACAGAGTAGACAGAGATGGGCAACTTGGATATTGGATACCCAAATGGGGGGTGGGGGGGGAGAACTACAAAGGCAAGAAGTGACTGGCTTACAAGCTTTCAAGAGGGAACCTAGAGCTAGGAGGCATGGAGGAAGGCAGAATCTCCAGTGAGTACTATCCAATCTGTCTAGGCGGCGGGGCTGATGAAATGAAATGCAGATGGGTCTCTTGTGATACAATAGTGAATGATTGTTATCAGGACTGATTGAGGGTTGGAAATGTAAAGGTAGACGTTTTGTAGCAAGGAAGGGAGTGATTAACTCTCCAGTCTAGGAGCAGAGGTCTCTAGGACTATCAATGGAGAAGAGCCGAGAGCAGGACCCTACCCCGAGAAGCAGCGAGGTACGAGATGGAGGCAGAGATGATGACGTGGAGTGATGAAGCATCTGGGGACTTTGGATCCAGAGAGGGAGAGGGACTGTGTGCTGAAGAATGGGGGGAGGGGGAGCGTAGGGGGCAGGTTTATAGGGTAAACCCTTTGGTCGGTTGATGATGCATGGAGGGGATTGGAACCATGGCAATGAAATGATGTATGGTGGAATGAGTATAAAACTAAAGTTCTCCCATGTAAAATATCATATAATTCACAATAAAACATGAAAAAAAAAAGTTACACTGTAGTCTAGTAAGTATATAATAGCATTATGAATAAATTTGAAATATTATGAGAGTTAACAAATGTGACCACAAGCTGTGGAAAAGTGGCACCAATAGACTTGTTTAATGCAGAGTTGTCATAAACCTTCAATGTGTAAAAAAAGTGAGAAAAATTACCTGAGAAGTACAATAATACAAAGTGCAATACAATGAGTTATGCCTGTGTTTCCAATTCTCCCTTGGACTTATTTCAAAACAGTTCCTTCTCCCTTCTTCAAGCTGGAGGAGTCCTATTGTGGCGTTGTAGGACAAGAACTGGACTGCTAACCACCACAAGGTTGGCAGTTCAAATCCACCAGCTGCTCCTTGGAAACCCTAGACATGGGGTCACTATGAGTTGGAACCGACTCAATGGCACTTAACAACAGCCATGCTGGGAGCATGAGGGAGATTTCTTTGCACACATTCACAGTGAGACTCTGGTGGGACTCTTGGATGTAAACTTCATAAAATCTGAGTCCTCCCCCTAAAGCTGAGCCTCCAGGAGTTTTTACATCTCAACTGACTATAATTGCTGAAGAGGCTAGTCCAAGCTCTCTTCAGCAATTATAGTCAATTATACTTTTAGTGTTCCTATGTAAGTCCTGGTGTGGTGTTGTGGGTTAATGTGCTGAAGTGCAAATTTGGTTTGAACCACAAGGTTGGTGGTTCAAGCTCACCAGCCATTCCTTGAAAACCCTATACAGGGTCACTTTGGGTGGGAATCGACTTGACGGCACTTAACAAGAACCCAATGTTAGCAGTGGTTTCTGCTTCTGGTAAGCTTTGACTTTTCTGGATCTACCTTTGCCTCTAGTTTTTGAGTGCAGGTATGCTCTGTGACCTCGATTCTCTGAGGGATCTCAGAAGAGTTGGTTAATTTTCAGTTTTCCTGCCTTTTTTTTTTGCTATGGAATTGGTGACTTCCAAGCTATCCCAACACATCTGATCAGAAACCGGAAATCCTTAGGACAAAACATCTTTGTCTACAGTGAAAGCTCAAGTTTAGTACAAGAGACCTGAACTTTTTTTTTCACATTGAAGTTTAAATGACTTCCAGCAAGGTCTTTCCTACTATGAGCAGGTTCTGACTAGAGGGAGGCACAGGGTGAGAGAAAGAAAGAGGTTCCATGAAGGGAGGAGGGATAGAAGGTGGTAGCTAACTTCAGTCATGTCCTTGTGACACCCTCACATGGGGATTCCCAGCAATGGCGAGAGTAAAAACACTTGGAAATATGGCCACAAAGTTTTAATCAAATAGAGCAAAATGGCTGCAATGCAGAAGAGATAGTGCTTGGAGAAGAGAAAGACGATCATCTCCTTGGTGACATAAATTATGTGTATAAAGATGAAGCAGTACAGGAACATGGCAAACTGGTTCTGGGGGAGCAGGAGGTCCTGGAGGCCTCCTGAAAACTGTAGGGGGAAAGAAGACAGTAGGGCTGACCAACTAGAGCTTTGCTGCTCTGGATTTGAGAGCCAGGCAGTTCTGAGTTTCAATTCGGCTCCATCTCTTCCTGAGTATGAGTTCAGGCAAGTTATCTTCCTCACCTCAGTAAAAGGGGAATAGTGCCCACTTCACAAGATCATAAGGAGGAAGAGTTAGACAATAAGGAAAAAAAATGTCAATACAGTAACTGGCACATAGGAAGAGCTCATCCCTCCCCGCCCCCACTTCTTGAGCCTGCTTGTTACAGGCAAACACTTTCCCTTCTGCTTGTCCCAGCCTTCCTGTCTGAGTTACATATGTGGGCAGTGACTCTGTGGCTCAAACATCCTCACTTCTAGATCTTGGGTTTTGGAAGTGTTGTCTGGGTAATTTGTCCCTGCATTCAACCTAGTTTTTAGGGCAGTGGGCAGAGTGAAAGGAAGTTCTTTAGATATAAATGACTCTATTGGACTCTTTGGATCCTGGTACATGTCACACTTGGCCAGTCTGAAGTCCTTCAGCCCAGAGTTTGTTTTTTCCTGAAAGCAGGTGTTAAGAGACAGGTGGTGGGGCCTCCCTAAGCCCCCAGAGTGCTGGGGAAAGCAGCTTGAGTTGTCTGGCTGATCCTGTCTGAGAGGTGGCTCCTTTCTGGAATCTATACAATAAAGGACAGCAGACTCCATTCTAACTATAGAAAGCACCAACTTTTAATTCAGCCAAAAGTTGATGTTGATCCATAGTTAATAAAGCATCACTGATGCTTTATTCTTTTAATTATTTTTTTAAAAAAAATCATAATGTACTTTTTTTTTTTTTTTGTAGACAGCCAGATGGCAGAGACTAGATGCCCTAAACTAGCTTGGAAAAAAAAAAAGTCCTGCAAGTATTTTCAAGCCATCTATAAAAAGAAAGGGGTCTGTGGGAGCTTTACAATCAAGTCATGCCTCATCTTTTGTAAATGTGCAAAAGTAAAACACTTTTGTAACTATTATGAAAGGCTGGGGTCTTGAAGACATTATTGTTGAGACAACATAAAACAGAGGCAACTAAATAAAAGCCAGGGAGGCAGAAACTGACTAGAGTGAACCTCTCTCTACAATGAATAGCTAGGAAGGCTCAAGTCCAGAGGAAGGAACCCCATGTTTCAATGGGAGTTGAGGTGCTCTACAGACTCCTGACAGCTCTGGATCCATGGAATTTCTGCATCTGTATATGTTTTCAGTCTGAAATACTAATGAGTGTCCATGATAATTTAATAACAAAACATGCATTTATGAAATCGTTTAGACTTTTCAAACACTTTTCATGATGTCTCTTTGAAGCAGAAGTCAGAACAGATAGCATTATAAAATTTCCAAGGATTGTCATTTCATCCAGCAAAGTGAAATATTTTTCACTAAAAAGTGGTAAATTAATATGGCTAGATAAGAGATACAGACCAAAAGTATGGTCTTAGACTAAGTATCTGCTTTAAATAGTTTCAGGCTCCAACTTAGGACAAACTATATCTCCGGAGACTGAGAAAAAACCACAAGTTTGGAAATGGAACTTATTTATGAGAATTCAAAATATCAGGCAATAAGCCAAAATCTTATGAGACAAGAAATTATTTTCTAGATTTTCAAAAAGAGAGAGGGAAAAAAAAGATGGATTCTGGAAATCTCAGCTCAATAAGCTTGAGTTGGCTCAGCAAAATCATTTAGTATCTAATTGAACAGGTAATTTGTGAACAAGAAAAAAAAGGATGATATTGTTAGAGGCTAGCATGTGTTCATGAAGAATCCATGATGCAAAACCAATCCCATTTCTTTAAAACAAAACAAAACAAAACAAAACAACAAATCAAAACCCAGTTAACTGGGGAAATGCTTCAGGTACTATAATATCTTAATTCTGGGAAACCATCTGACCGTGTGTCTCAGGATAGGTGGAGAAATATGAACTGGATTAGGCATAACTCAAGGGTGCTGATTAATGGAACATTGCTAACCTGTGAGGAAAGCTTTAGCGGTATTTACTTGAGGTCCTATCTTCTACAGTAATTATAGCAATTACTTGGATAAAGGCCGAAGGCAAGCTTCTCAGAACTGTGGATGATTCAGAGCTGGGAAGTGTAGCTAATACATTACATCCCAATAAAACTGAAAAGGGATGAATGTAAGTTGCTGCGTTTGGGTCAAGAAGTGAACTGTATGAGTATATAAAAAATGATAATAGCTAGCATTTATTGAGTTCTTACCTAATGTGCCAGGCTCATTACAAAGTGCTTTACAAGCATTCTTCCATGTAACACAGCAACCCTATGAAGTAGGTATTACTGTGAAGATGAGCAAACCAAGGCTCAAAAAGGCTTGGTAACTTGCCCAACACTATTCAGTTTATATATAGAGCCAGCATTTTAACCCAGAACTGTCTGACTTCAAAGCTCAGACAACACTGCTTTAAATAGGAAGTCTCCATTATTGAGTGTTTATGATATAGCCAGCCACAGAGTTAAGTACTTCACATTTTACCTAGTCTCAAGCAGATTGTCTTATTAGGACAGGTTAGGGGCAAACTGTTGTTGTGAAAAAATGTCTAAATTTTAGTTGACCATAAAGCAAATTTGCTCCAACAGAGTAAATAAATGCATCCCTGAGCAAGGGAGGTAATGGTTCTATCAAAACCCACTGGCCAGACTGCACTGTGATTCCGATTTGAGTTCAAGGTATCACATTTTAAGGGATGCAGGAAATGGGAGTGGTGGAAATGCAGCCATGAGAAAATGTTGAAGACTGGGGAGGTATCTCCTGGAGAAGGAAGCCTTGGAAGACCTGTCTTAAGCTATGAGGTGGTCAAGTGGTTCAGGAGTCTCTCCTGGGCCAACTCTTTTAAGAGAGTTGGACTTCCAGCTCAGTGTGGAAGCTCTAACCCAATAAGGTCTAGAGTTCTCTAAAAGCAGCAGGCAGCCCATCTCTGGGAGGGACCCACAGGAAAAGGGGTTGGAGGCAGCCTGCATGGACGCTGAGTCCCTTTCAGTTGGGTTCCAGGCTCTGCAGAGCAAGGCGCTGCAGCTAGCAGGTAAGGTGGGTTCCTACTGCAGGCAGGCATACTCCACCAGCCTCCTCACTAGGTCTCAGGCCCTCTCCCCTCCCTCTCATCCCTGGGGCCTTTATGAATGAGGCCCATGTGCCTCTTAGCCAGTGTCACCCACCAGGCGGGGGGTCGCCTGCTGCTGCAGCTGCTCCATCACCTCCTCATGCTGTCGTTGCCGCTGGTTCTCCTCGTGCAGATATTTGAGCCTCGTGAGCTCGAACTCCATGCGCATTTTCTCTAGTTCCATTTCAATGTTGTGCTTGCTCCCAAGATCGTGGGGCGACTCTGTGACTTGGGGCCCATCGCCTGCCTGGCCCTTGGTGGTGGGGCCCGCCTTGAGGGACAGCAGCTTCGTTGGCCCTGGGCAGCCTCCTTCCTCACAAGTCTCCATCTCCTCCAGGTGATTGAAGGAGGAATCTGGCTTTGAGGGATCTGTTTCTTGGGCAGGAGAAGGCTGAGGCTGGGGCTGAGGCTGGGGCTGGGGCTGGGGCT